TGTGTGTGTATGTATGTATATTGCCTATACATGTATATGTATATGTATATATATATATATACACACACACATATATATATATATACATATCGACAATGCTGCTGCGGTATGCTTCATGCTTCATGCTTGCTTAACAATTATGGCAAGCAAACAAGCGCTAGCTGCACTAGCTCTGCAGAGTCTTTTGAACTGAAAGACCCATGAACTGAAAGACCCATTACCCCTATGATGGCAGCTGCATGCAATTCTTTCTTCTACAGCAGCAACGACGACAACGACGATAAAAACCACACCCACGTACAACGACGTCGACGACTACTGCGACTGCGTTGAATACTCCCCGACCCTGTAGCAGTCACCACAAAAGCACAAAAAACACAACACAAATCCAGCCTTTATGTGAAAAAAAGTGGGGTGGGGTGGGGGTGGGGGTGGGGTGGGGTGGGGACGAGTTTTGACCATTTCTAGGATTTAGGATCCCGAAGACCAGTATTTAGGGTCCCGCGGCCCGAGTTTCAAAACGAATGAAATGATCTGGCACTTAGCGCCGCGCGACTGTAGCCGAGACTGCCACCTCAAGCGTGAACCTGCCAAGCANNNCTATCGCCCCAGCGGGGTATGGTACTTTTGCAGCACCAGACTCAGAATGGTACTTCGGCAGCACCGTCTCATTGAAATATGATTGGGCAAGAAGCCTAAACCTTGAACACCCAGCCTCAGACCAGCAGCCTCTTTTGACAAAGCGAATGAAATGATCTGGCACCACTGCTTAGCACCTGCACAAAAGTAGCCCAGACCGCTATAGCTCAACTGTGAACCTGCCAGGAATGCCCACATCACCAGCCTTTCAACGCTTCTGCTCCATTTGTCGCCTGCGATCGTGCTAGTCAGCGGTTGCTTGGTTGGCTTGGTTGCCCATGATGGTTCAAACATACGTTTCCAACCAGCAGAAACCTTGCATGCGCGAAACATAAAAGACTGCGCCTTCCACGGTGTCTCGCTTCCAGTGGGCAAGGTTGATGGGTGGAGGAGCGGTCCTTTCGGGGCGTGTTCTTTTGGGCTCCTATCACTACAGTAAAGGAACCCTACCTGTACACTGACAGAACGGCCGCTTATGTTTCAACCAACTGGCTACCGCCACACCGAAGAGACACGCAACATTTTCAAGCTCACGCGCAAGGCTTCGCCATTGTGTTGCGTCCCCGACAATGACACTGCCACACTCGCCTGGGTGACTTCCCGGCCCTATTTAGTATTAATTATAATATTGAATTAACGAGCCACGGTCAACTCAATTATTTACCGTGCGTCTTGACAGAAGCTTGTTTTTATAGACATACATATATGTATG